TCCAGGAAGAAACCACAGGTCCGCCGCAAGATCAGAGGCAGATAAAGCTAGGCAGGAACTGCCGCCGGGGCGCCGTAAGGCTCATGCCTGTAATCCTAACACCTGTGTGGAGCGAGGGGGCGGTGCCGTTGTTCTAGGGGGTCAGGAGTTCGAACCAGGGCCTGAGCACGAGCAAGACCCCGTCTCTACTATAAATAGAAAGAATCATTGGCCAACTAATATATATAGAAGGAGAGTGGGTGTAGGCAGCATGGTGTAGTACAGGGGCTTGCTGGAGTCCTAGCGGCTACTCGTGAGGCGAGCAGGAGGATTGCTTGAAGCGCCAGAGTTTGAGGGCTATGGAGCTAGGGCGTCCCAGGGACTCACTCTAGCCAGGGCAACAAAGTGAGACTCTGTCTCAAAAAAAAAAAAAAAAAAGAATTAACCAAAGATTACTTACAATCTACTGATTAGTCTGTTTAGTTACATAAGGAAGACTCATCTAGAACTGTCTCCGAAAGAAAATAACAAAGGGTTGGGGAGAGAAGGAAAGCAGAGTCTGTATCAGTATATGAATGGAGAGGAAGAATGTTGAAAAGATGTATGTTTAGGCAGAGTTCTTCTGAATTATGTGGACAGGGGCCTTGGATGTTGCCTTTGGCCATGCTAAAATCAACTCAAATAATTTTGTGCCACTCTGTAAGAGTTCACAATACCTTTAGTGGAAGAGGTGTCTAAATTTTTTATTAGAAATTAGATTTAACATTAGACATTAGATTTCAGGAAGGCAGGGACCATTTCTTATTCTCTTGAATCTCTAGTATTCACAGTGTCTAGAATTTTCTAGTAGCTAACCAAATGTTTATTAAGTCAGCATTGTTCATAGTGCAGACATGTAAATATCTCTGAGGATATAAACCTGAGTGTCGTAGATGATATAACTGATTTATAGTTATGATCTTGACATTTATGAAAGGTTTGTTATATTTCATATAGTCTATAGATGAACTCTTTCTAAAATACATTCCATCTCTATATGCCAATGTTAAAGTATTTAGAAGAGTTTCTACTTACACCAAGACTCCTTTTCCCTATACTAAGACTCCCTTTTTCCTAGGATGTTAGAAGTAACCACTTTAACCTCAAATTGGTATTGTCTTAAATTTAAGCAGAGTAGTAACTCTTTCTACCTTGTCTTGGATTACCTGCCATTATCTTAATTCTTTGTATGTCATTCTGGGCAACTGCAATCCATCCATTATTTGATTTTGGCCAGTTTTGTTTCATTGATATCTTATGGCGCCATCTACTGACACAAATTGGTAATCATAGGCTTTAAGTTTATCGAAAGTCAAAAGTTAATGAAGGGCTGGGAGTGGTGGCTCAGGCCTATAATCCTAGGACTCTGGGAGGCCAAGGTGGGATGATCCCTCAAGGTCAGGAGTTCGAAACCAGCCTGAGCAAGAGCAAGACCCCATCTCTACTAAAAATAGAAAAAATTAATTGGCCAAAAATACATATGTAGAAAAAAAATGAGCCGGGCATGGTGGCGCATGCCTGTAGTCCCAGCTACTCGGGAGGCTGAGGCAGGAGGATTGCTTGAGCCCAGGAGTTTGAGGTTGCTGTGAGCTAGGCTGATGCCATGGCACTCTAGCCCAGGCAACAGAGTGAGACTCTGACTCAAAAAAAAAAAAAAAAAAAAAAAAAAAAAAAAAAAAAAAAATTAATTGGCCAAAAAAAAAAATATAAAAAAAATTAGCTGGGCATGGTGGCGCATGCCTGTAGTCTCAGCTACTCGGGAGGCTGAGGCAGGAGGATCGCTTGAGCCCAGGAGTTTGAGGTTGCTGTGAGCTAGGCTGATGCCATGGCACTCTAGCCCAGGCAACAGAGTGAGACTCTGACTCAAAAAAAAAAAAAAAAAAAAAAAAAAAAAACCCCCCCGAAAAAGGGGGGAACCCCCCCCCACTAAAAAAAAATTAATTGGCCAAAAATACATATGTAGAAAAAAAATGAGCCGGGCATGGTGGCGCATGCCTGTAGTCCCAGCTACTCGGGAGGCTGAGGCAGGAGGATCGCTTGAGCCCAGGAGTTTGAGGTTGCTGTGAGCTAGGCTGATGCCACGGCACTCTAGCCCAGGCAACAGAGTGAGACTCTGACTCAAAAAAAAAAAAAAAAAAAAAAAAAAAAAAGAAAGAAAGAAAGTTTCCAGAGTGGAGGGCCGTTGGTTGGGGCCTGGGGTATGCTGCTTCATTGAGGGGCTCCACTGCTGCCACCAACTTGTTGTTTTTCCTGGGTGCCACTTCCCCGGCTGGCCCGACGCGACGTACCAGTATCGCGACACCGATTCCTCTCGGGTTTTTGGGCGCTGCTCTGAGCAGTGTCACCCTTTCACCAGAAAGCTGGCGGGCACTATGGGGAAAAAACAAAACAAGAAGAAAGTGGAGGAGGTGCTAGAAGAGGAGGAAGAGGAATATGTGGTGGAAAAAGTTCTCGACCGTCGAGTGGTAAAGGGCAAAGTGGAGTACCTCCTAAAGTGGAAGGGTTTCTCGGAGTAAGTTTTACTGACACTGGTAAATTTAATCATGAGCTGTTTATCAAGAGTCTGGCAGTGTGCGAGACCTCCAGTGCTGTGGTGGGCACAGTGTGACTCAGATCTGGCCTTCATGGTGTAGTCTGACTAGGAATATGACCTACATGCACAAAGTGCTTGTAATGCAAAACAGTCATTTCTGAGGAGCAGTTTTGTGTGGCTATAAACCAATCCAAGTTTATAAGAAAAGGTAATTTTCCTTTGAAGGAAGCAAATTTCTAAGCTTTCTATTTGTATTAAAAAGCCGCCGATGCTCCAAGAAATTTCCTCTTTTCCAAGGACACCCGAGCTCTTATCCTCCAGTTCTTATCCTTAGTATGACTATGCTTAGTTTGCGTGGAAAGTGTGACTTGCTGTGTCCTCTGGTTCCAGTGAGGACAACACGTGGGAGCCAGAAGAGAACCTGGATTGCCCTGACCTCATTGCTGAGTTTCTGCAGTCACAGAAAACAGCACATGAGACAGATAAATCAGAAGGAGGCAAGCGCAAAGCTGATTCTGATTCTGAAGATAAGGGAGAAGAGAGCAAACCAAAGAAGAAAAAAGAAGAGGTAAGGTGGAAGTAAGAGTTTTTAGTACCCCAGAATTCATAGTACTGTTGAAGAAGCTGAAGGCCAGTTTTGTTCTGCGTCTTATTCGATATCAGCAGCCATCTCTCAGTAGATAGGCTGAGTATTTGGGAGTATACTCATGAAGCCACATGATCTACTCTTAACTTTTTATCCATGGTACAGGAACAGTAAGTGGAACACTTATTGGGGACAGATACAAGGGCAAGTGAATTCATTCCTGTAAATAGATAGCGTTCAGTGTTCAATCATTAAAGGCGTGAAGTGGCTATTTTGACATATTTAACACCTTAAAGTTGTCTTTTTTTTTTTTTGAGACAGCGTCTCGCTTGTGTGGCCCAGGGCTAGAGCTGAGTGCCCCTGGCCGTCAGCCTACGCCGACGAGCAACCTCCGAACTCCTGGGCCCTCCAAGCAATCCTCGCCTGCCTCAGCCTCCCAAGTAGCTGCCGACTATAGCGCATGTGCCCACCATGCCCGGGCTAATTTCTTGTCTAGTATATATTAGTTGGCCATTAATTTGTTCTAGTTTATAG